CCCCTATGTTCCTTCTCCTATAAGGCTCAGGAAGAACAGAAGTTTGATTAGGTCAGAAAAGAAAAGAAAATCCTAGAAGGAGACATACTAAAAATCTCCCAGGGAGAGAGCTGAGGAACAGCATGGAGTGTGTACATGAAGTTTTCCACACCTCTCAAATTCATGATTATGCATTTCCTTTATCATCACAAATAAATTTGCTAATTGAATCTGTAACTTAAGGTTTTCATTTAAATATTAATTTAAAAGAAACATATTAAGTCTCACTGAATTCCCTGTTCTACCATGAGGAAACTCTCACCTTGTGATATATTCTGCAAGATCTTTGCTCAGCTCACGGAACTTTTGCTATGCTCAGAAATGTCCCCCTATCTTTGCTGACTTAAGCGTTGTTTCGTTTTTGCCATGCCCTGAACAGTTCAAAGTCCATATTAAAATGCCAGGGTTTTGCAACCTTTGTCAATGCTAGACTAGCAAGAATTCCCAAGCCCTCAGTTTCCTTATCAACAAAGGTGAAAAATACTACTTTAGCTTCCTTGGAAGCTCTTTCTGAAAGACGTTTATTTAAAACAATGGTAGGAACACATGTGGACACCTGCTTTTTATTCTTTAAACCTTAGCTCATTTCTTCTTCCTTCATCTTCCTTCTTTTCCTTGATTTTTCAAATTTGATTTCATTCAGCTCAAATGTCACCACTTCTGTGAAGCCCCCAGTCAGTTAGAGAAAGAACTCCAACTCAAAAGAGCTTATGATTTAAAAATGAAGCCCCAGTCAGTTAGAGACAGACCCCAACTCAACAGAGCTTATGATTTAAAAAAACAAAAACAAAAACAAAAACTGTATGTGGGTGGATTTATTGGCTCTTATAACTGGAAGCCTAGGAGGTAGACCTAGCTTCAGGATTGGCTGAGCCCAGGGCCTGCAGTTATGTCATCTGAACTCTCTCTCTTGCCTTCTTTCAGCTTACTTTCAATTCTGCAAACAGGCAAAAAGAGCAGCCCTGGCAGCCCCTGATCCACATTCTCCCAGCTTAGCAACCCCTATAGGGTCAGAGGAGGGGGATGACTTCTCTTTTTCCCGGTGTCTACATATAAATTCAGAGCGGGATTCTGTTTGGCCGAGCTTGGGTCACATATCCATGGCAGTGGCAGGTGTGAGAAGATAAAAGTCCCATGACTGACAATCTGACCAGGATCAAATGAAGTGAGAGAGAGGAGATCCCCAAAAGAAACTGGGAAGCTGGGAAGGCAAGATACACACAAGAAAGAATTTTTGAAAAAGAAAGCCCCCAAGTCTCCACTTGTCTATATATCACATCTATTTATAATGTCACTTTGCAGCTCATCCCATCAAGAGATAAAGAATCTGGGCTGGTCTTGTGACTTGGTTTGACCAATAGGCTAAAGCAGAAGTGAAGGCAGCCTTGAGGATTCTCTCTCCGTAACTTTGCTGGAAAAATGAGACCTGGAACAGAGCCAAGTCGGTCCACATGTCCTAGCTAGAGACTCAGACAGTGAGAAAACCCTGCCAAGACCCACAAAGCCACCAACTGAGGAGGCCTTGCAGAGCCCAGCTCTGATCAGCAGAACCGCCAGCCAACCCATAGATGCAGAAATAAAAATAACCTTTTTTTTTTTTTTTGTATACTGAGGTTTTTTGTGGTTCTGCTATAGCATCACCGTGGCAACAGATAACGGATACACTTTGTATCTACCAGACCTCTCTCACATCACCATTCTGCGGGCAGAGTGGGGCATCCCTCCTGTGCTCACGCACTTACATCACCCAAAGTATGTTGTTGCAGTGTTTATACTGAGTTGTAATCATCTATTGTAACTACTTGTTTACATATATATATATCTCCTTGACACTAAGCTCTTTGAGGGAGGAATTTTTTTAAATCTTTTTGAGCCCAACACTTGGCACAGAGTGTAGTAAAGAACAGAAACCGGTTAAACGTTCCTAGGAATTCTGAGAATGAGGAGTCCCACCAAAAAACTATCTGTAGGGCTTCCCTTGTGGCGCAGTGATTGAGAGTCCGCCTGCCGATGCAGGGGACACGGGTTTGTGCCCCGGTCCGGGAAGATCCCACATGCCACGGAGCGGCTGGGCCCGTGAGCCGTGGCCGCTGAGCCTGCGGTTCCGGAGCCTGTGCTCCGCAACGGGAGAGGCCACAACAGTGAGAGGCCCACTTACCGCAAAAAAAAAAAAAAAAAAAAAAAAAACTATCTGTGAAACCTACGCTGAGTGCCCAAATCCCTAGCCAGGTTGATTTTTTTTTTAGGTATCAGGCTCATTTGTTTTTCTGTCTCCGTGAATTGCATGCTTCTTGTTTTTTATTTGTTTATCTATTGGATTGTTTCTCTTTTTTCTTATTAATTTGAAAACTTTTTAATATTTTCTCCATATGTATTCTTTGCCAGATCATGTATTGAAAATATTTCCTGCCAGTCTGTGAACTCTTTCCCTTTTATTATGCTATCATTGGTGAGCATGACTTTTTTAGTTTTAATGAGGTTTAACTTTTCAATCTTTCCTTTATATTCCATCCATTTTGTGTTTATTTAAGAATGCATCCTTATCCCCAGTCATAAAGATACCCTCCTATATTGTCTGCTAAAAAGTTGGGAGTTTTGTTTTTCATATTTGGGTCTTTAATGTGCCTGAAGTTCAGTTTTATATATGGTTTAAGGTAGGGGTTCAATTGCCCCAGCGTCATTTAATGAATATCTAACCTTCCCGTTCACTTAGGATGCAGCTAATAGAAGGTTTCTGTATGTGCAGGGTGTGTGTCTGGTACCTCTTATTTGCCTGCACTATTTGTTGATCCCTGCACAAACACACAACCTCTCTGTGTTCATAGGATGAGTCACTCCACCCTGCTCTTTTTCTTCAAAATAGTTTTGGCTATTTCTGGCTCTTTATTTTTCATATACATTTTACAGTCACCCTGTCAAGTTATACACCAAACTCTTATACCCACTAGAGTTGACAGAATTTTGTTTGGTATTGCATTATATTTTTAGGTTAATTTGGGGAGAATTTACGACTTTAAAAATCGAATCTTCCTATCCATGAACATGATTTAATTTCACTACTTATTAAATTTCACCTGTCTCCAAGATATACCCGGAATCCAATAATTCTCACCGCCTCTCCTGTTACCAAGCTGGTGCAAGCCACCGTCATTTCTCCCCTGGTTAGCCCCGGGTAGCCTCCCTACTGGCTCCTCTGCCTCCACGTCATCTCCTCTACAGCCTATTCACACAGCAGCCAGGATGATGGTTCTTGTTTAGACATAAATCAGGTCATGGCCCTTGTACCACCTAAAATCGCCTTGTAGCCCCCAGTGGTGCCAAATTCCACACTTTGGGAAACAATGGTTTGAATGAATGAATGAGAGGATGCTGACTATGTAAGACCCTGGGAACTGAGAAATGATCAAGTAAGGGGTCGGTCTCGGGGAAACCAACATGGGAAACATGGCACGGAGCCCGCACCGCGGTGAGGGTGAACTTCGGAGTTCATGATGGAGCCAGAAGCAAAAGCGCGGGCACAGAGGATCGCGCCTGGACCAGGCGGAGGCTGCTTCCAGAGCGCAGCGACTGCGAGGGCGCGTCCGGGGCCTCCCGCGCGCGGCCGCCGCCCAGCCCAGCCGGGCCTCTGGGCTCCGCACGGGGACGCGCTCTGAGGGCGCGCTCCGGACGGCGGCGGCGCGCAGGGCCGCCGTGGCGGGAGAAGCGCTTCCGGTGGCGGCGGAGGCGGCGCTGAGCGGGTCCCCAGAGCGGCGCGGGCTGTGGCCGGGGGGGAGCGGTGAGTCGTGGGCCGCGGACCCGGGTGCTGTGGGTTGGAAACGCGCAGGGAGCCTGGCGGAGGGGCGCGGGCTGGAGCGGGGGCGCGCTCCCGCGGGCCGGCTGCCAGGAGACACCGGGGCTGGGAGGTCAGAAGCCCCCTCGCCATGCCCGGGACTCCCCGTGCCAGGGGGTCCCTACACCTTGGAGACCCCTGCCATCCCAATGCCTGAGCTCCCCATCTCTAGCAGCCTGACCTCCTCCGAGCTCCCCCTGAGCCCCCGCGGTGGAGTGGGTCTCCCGGCATGGGAGGGGGCTCACCCATCCGCGCCCGCACGCGCCCTGCCACGCTGTCCCCGCGGCCGCGTGACGAAACTCGCCGCGGGGAGGACACCCAAGATGGCTGCCGCGGGGACAGGCCACGGCGGGGACTGGCGCGAGCGATTGCTCGTTGGTTCGGTGGCACCGACCCCCACGTCCCTCAAGCTCCTAGCTCCTGGCTTCTCCTCCTGGCGCAGAGGGGGGGCTCGGAGATCAGAGACCACCTGGCCCCTGCCCTAGAACTCGCAATCTAGTAAGGAAGAGAAAAGCAGGTAATGGGAACAGGAGTGATCCTGCCCGGAGCTTGCATTTCCGTGCTGACCGCCTGAGCTTTCCCACTTGTCACGAGCCTCTAACCTTCTCAGAATGACAATAGACACAATGCCTACTAAGAGTTTGCAGGTGATTCAGGTCCATCTACTTTTACATTCCTCCAGCCCCATGAGGTACTTGGCCTTGCCTTCCTAATCCAGATGGGGAAGGAAACTGGGGCTCAGAGAGGTTGTGTAACCTGCCTAAAGCCACACAGTTGGTCATCTGTAGTCTCAGCTTACATGTTACTTCCTCAGAGATGCTCTCCCTTGGCTGTGTTGTTTGAAATTGCCCCTTCATGCACACATCCTCTGTTAGATTACCCCTGTGATTTTTTCCTTAAGAGAATTTGTCACCAGTTGAAATTAACTGTTTACTTGCTTGTTTGATTCTCTGCTTGTGATCAGGGCCTCTGTTTGTCTTGCTCATCTGTCTGTTCCCTGCACCAGGGAGACCCTCACTGAATATTTGTTGAGTGCCTGAATGAGAAAGCTCAGTATGAGTGACTTTAGAGCTCGGGCACTTAACCACTCCATGGGCAACTGCCTTCTGAAGCCCCGTGGCATTTTGTTTTTACTTTTCTCAGTCATAATCTCTCTTCTGCCTCATCTTCTAGATTTTTACTTGCGTGTCTCCAGCTTTTCTCTTCCTTTGCCCATCCGCAGTTTGCTGAGCTGCTTCCATGTTCCAGGCACTGTAATAGGTGCAAGGCGGGTATACAGGTAAATAAGGAGACTTTGCAGCTCTTGTGGTGCTGAACTTGCCATGTAAGAGCTGTAAGCTGAGAGGGAAATCTGGGAGGATGAGTGGAGGCTCCACCAGGAGGTTCTGGGACCTCAAGCAGCTCCCTTCTCGCCTCAGGACTGCAGTTGTCTAGTTTGCAAAAAATGATGGTGTTTGGAGAGGAGGATATATCGGTTTCTATCCAGCTCTAACATATGATAGCTTTAGGTATGTATTCAAGGCTTTGCTTGAGCAGGCAAGCATTTAAGTCCCATGGGCTTTCAGGAAAGGGGTATCTGTGCTTGCAGTTGTCAGAGAAGAAGCTGTATAGCAAGGGGTAGATGTAATTCAGGATCAGGAAAATATTTAGAATGCTTTTAATATTCTGTAAAAGTTTTATGAAATCCCATGTGGATGAGTATAGAAAGATGTTGTCAGAGGGAGGGGACCCCTTCCCCCTCCTCACTTCCTGCAGAGGAAGCTGAGAAGACAACCAGAGCAGCAGTGACCCTTAGAGCAGATCCATCATAAAACTTCTTTGCTCTCTGATGCATTAGAATGAAATATGGCATCTACATCCTACTAAGCAAGCCGTGGTTAGATGCATTCGGTTGGAGTATAACTGTGAATAGAACCAACCTTTTGTTTGAGGTTAAAGGTAAGAAATCAGCACTAAGTCATTTTTTTAAAAGGCTGACTCTTACCTAGACAGTGAAAAATTATTGTCAGAATACATATCAAACCTATACTTAATTATACAAAGTTCAAAGTTATTAAGTTTTTAGTTAACTGCTATTACTTTGTGAAATATTTTCATACACAGTATATATAATCTGTTACTTGATTCTTTAAAGTAGGTGGGAAAATGTTCAACTGAATATGTCCAAAATACTACAGTTCGGGAGTACTTTATTATTTTTACAGGCTGATACCACCATCTCAAGTAAAAACTAATAGAATTTTTTTTAAAAAATGGATAAGAACTTCACTCATCATAAGAAATTGATTAAGAAACCCAAAGTTGATCTTGAGGTTCACCAGAATATGAACAATGATTGTATTGTTACCTGGGTGTTTTAAAGTTCGTAGAAGAATGGGATCTGCCATGTGGATGGGGAGTGGAGGCAGGGAGTATGGTGGCAGGGAGACAGACAGAAGGCAGTCATTCCCCATGGGTTCCTGATTCTACTACACAGGCCCCATGTCTCCATGCAGACCTGTCCCTGGAATAGAGGAGGGTATGCAACAGAAAGCCATTGCTGAGTGGAAATGCCCTATGAAAGAATCTGCTTCTTAGTACAGGATTCAACTTTCTGATCTATAATTTTTTTTTTTTTTTTTTTTTTTTTGTGGTACGCGGGCCTCTCACTGTTGTGGCCTCTCCCATTGCGGAGCACAGGCTCCGGACACGCAGGCTCAGCGGCCATGGCTCACGGGCCCAGCCGCTCCGCAGCATGTGGGATCTTCCCGGACCGGGGCACGAACCCGTGTCCCCTGCATCGGCAGGCGGACTCTCAACCACTGCGCCACCAGGGAAGCCCCTCTGATCTATAATTTGATCTCTTGTGTGGCCATGCCCGTAAGAAAGAAATGCTGTGTGTGGACGACCATCGCAAAGCCAAATGAGGAAATGTGTGCCTTCAATGAACGTGACTGCCCTTGCCAGACACACCACTTCTGGCCCCGCAAGGGTCAGAAGTGGGGTATAAAGTCAGGCCGAACTGCCTTCTTGGGCGTGGCCCTTGATTTCTCTGAGTAACTCTGCAAAGTAGGGGGAAATTTCTTAGCTGAAGTGAGAATTTAGCAGTCTAGTAACGCGTGGAACACCCTGTGTCTGGCCCACAATGGGTGCTCAGCCATGTCCCCCTATAGTGACTTTGATAGGGTACATCACACCTCTCTGGCCCTAACTACATAAACCAAGAGCAACCAGACTCTTTTTCAGCTCTTTCAAATGCAGTAAACAACTGCATTATGTTAGTTAAAACATAACTAACAATAAGTTTCCAGTTTAATAATTTAATTATCGTTGTTAATCTTTAGCCAGGGTTAAAGGTCTTTCTTACCAAGTCCCTGAGAAAGCACATTCCCTGCTAGTTTGTTTTCTGTGAAGTTTTGGGAAATTCTTTTTTTTTTTTTTTTCCAGTAGTTAAGCATTTTCTTGGCATGTAGCTAAAAGTTTGAAATAAAGCTTATCTCAGGGAAAATCATTTTTCTTAGGCATCATCTTCAGGAAGCCAAGTGCCCTTGCATTCCCCACCCTCCCCCCACCACCAACCCCACCAATACTACCAGCCACTGTGTTTCTGTGCAGGACTTGAGCCAATGAGGGCAGGAGATTCCTTGCTTGGAGAATGATGTTAGTAATGACCCTACCTTTGTTTAGCCCTTTACACTTAATAAAGGTCAATAAAGCCCTCTTGCACACTTCAGTTTCCTAATTCTTCCAACTGTGTCAGCCAACTCTCATCTCCATCTTACAGACGAGAAAATTGAGGTTCAGAGAGGGGAGATGACTCCCCCAGTGACATGCTTAGAAAGGAAGAGACAGAGTCAGGACTCTAATCCAGATTGCAGTGGTTCAAGTCCAGTTCTCAATTCCGTGGGTTGGCAGGGTAGGTACTCAGCAGACCAGGCTGCAGGGCAGGGAGCCTTCCTCGACAGGACCCAGCCAGCAACCAGCCTGAGTGGCCATGGAGTCATCTAAATATTTCTATTGCCCCTGAAAGAGGGTAAGAATCTTCCCTTAGCTGGTAGGGCATTTGGTTATTTATCTGTAGGTTTTATATCCTTTCCCACAGAGTGTTTCCCAAACTTAGCTGATCATAGGATACCCCTGGTGTATTTCTTAAGGATCACCTTCCTAGGCTCCACCCCCGCTTTACTGAATCAGGATTTCCAGGAAGCTGCTTTCCAGGTCAGCACTACCTCCCCAAGGAGCAGGGATTCTGGAGCCAGGTAATAAAACGTCACACCCTGGCAGCACCGCTTCCTTGTAACCAAACCCTTATGAGGGTTAGATGGGGTCATATAAGGAGGGCTCTTATGATATGTGGTTATTAAACATTAGTGTTATTATTAAGCAGCATCCTAATTTTGCTGATAAAGATGCAGAAACTTGGGGCAGTGGGATAATGTGTACAAGGTCCCAGAGTCGTCGGTGGAGCTGGCATTGGAACTCAGGTCTGTTGCCTCCACCAGCATAAGCCCCTAACCACTACACACCCCTTCCCTCATCACCTCCATCGGAGGATTCCAGGTTACAGGGCAGTTAGGGAGGTGCGGCTTGGAGCCAGAAATTCAAGTTCCACTAACCAACTGGTTCAGTAAAGTTATTTGGCAATGAAACTGATCACCGTTGTCTAATTGGAGCAGACTGTTTACCAGCCATGAAGGCTTGTATGTGGTGGGAAGTGGTCCTGGGCCTCTGAGTCAGGGGGTGGTCCTCGCCCTTGCATAGCTGTGCACTGACTGTGTAACATCTAACCTAAAAGGGAGACAGTATTACCCTCCCAGAATTGGTGATGAAGGTTGTGATATAACTTAAATAATGACTTGAAAAAAGATGGAGTTAAGTACCATTTCCAGTAGGCCTATAATGTGTAATACAATATTATGACTAGAGAATCTTTGTCATGGCACTCATTTTGGCTTTAAAAACTTATAAATTCTGTGACTGAGTTATTGTGGATGTTAAACCAGGTTTACTTCACTGAAATAATAGATATTTTTTGCGGCGAGCCGCCTCCGACCAGCAGAATGACGAGTCGCCACACGCAAGATTCTTCTCGTATCACACTTTATTGGAGCACAGCTTGGTTAAAGAAAAGATGGAAGGAAGACACCGCAATCCTATAGCAGTCTGCTTATAGAGGGATTAAGAACATGTGTCGCTCTGTGATTGGCTTTCGCCGATGGTGCGACTTGTGAGCCAGCATCGGATAGGTCGCTACTTTAAAACCTCATTAGTATACTTAGCGCAAGCGCAGTGGCCACAGGAAGGATGACTCAGCTTACTTCAGCTTCCTGCTGCGTGGCAGTTAGCTGACCGCGCCCTACAATTTTTGAAAAGTGTGTACAGATTTGGATATGAGAATCATTCATATCACAGTCTTCAATAAGGTTTACCCAGGTTAGTAATCTGATAACTCAGTTGAAGACTGCATGGACAGAGGTGGGTGATGTCCACCCATAATGAGCTCTATATGAGAAGGGTGTCTGTAAGTACGTTTGGGGAAATTTAGGCTGTATTCATTAGAATGTGTTAGCCTTTCAGTTTATTTACCGCATGGTGGGACTTTCCAAATCCAGGGCCAAGCCAGTGCTGGGTATAGGAGAGGCCTTCAGTGCATACTGAATGCATATATTAATTTCGTTTATGAATGAATGAATAAAGAAAACTTGGAGAAATTCATTTTGATGAGTTTTGATGAGGCTTCATGATACTATATTTACCCAAAACCCCTTAGCCAAGAGATTGAATTTTAGCAGGAATTTTTTTCCCCTCTAAGAGATTATTTCTATCCCCTTTGAGGGGTTAATTAATGTATTAACGTATATAATCTGTAAAATAATATCCTTAGGAATGACTCATTTAAATGCAATCTAATTCTATAAGTATTAATGGCCCCAGATAGCTGTCATTCTTAGTTTATTGATTTTGTCTTTCGGTAACAAAGCCTTGACTTTATTTCTTAGCATAAGTGATGTCAGTCACTACAGAAATTTTTTTTGAATCCCACTTTTTTTCTCATACAAAAAAATATTTTCATACCTTTACAATCCAAACTTTTCTTTGAAATCATTCATTTTAAAAAAAGATTCTTAAGTCAGAATTAACACCTCAGTTGGTCAAGTGTCAAAAAGCAACATTATAGGGCATCCCTGGTGGCGCAGTGGTTGAGAGTCCACCTGCCGATGCAGGGGGCGCGGGTTCGTGCCCGGGTCCGGGAGGATCCCACATGCCGCGGAGCGGCTGGGCCCGTGAGCCACGGCCGCT